AAATCTCCAAGGGAGCTGTGATCGTATACTAAACCCTAATTGATGACTTATACTACTAAACTGAACACAAAATGAATATATATCACTTAAAACCATATATTGAACCCTAAAAAGGTTGAAAACTATTAACTAAACCCTGGAAAAACGGATAACTATTGACTAAAAATTGAACTCCTAAATCATAACCACATATAACTGATGACTGGCACACAGTGACAATAATGAAATACTAAGAGCTAGTAATGTTGAAAAAAAAATACAGAGAACCATGTAATAAATAATTTATTAGGACATTCCTGTTTATAGACTGAAAATGACAAAAGTTGAAGAAAATGAAAACTGAAAGAATAAAAGACACAATAATGACAAAAATAAAATAATAGAAAGGCACTGAAAACTAAAAAATGATAAACGAAAGACAAGAAAGCACATCCTCGGTATTAGTATTTGTTAGTAGTTGCAAGTTATCAGCTAACTAAACAGAACTTGATGAAATGAAAAGTAAAGCAATAGTAGGTAATGTTCCGAGGCAGTAAACATCAGAAAAGATTGCTACTACAGTAGGAACATTAATTCTCTAGATCTACTATTATGTAAGGGTAACCAGTAATCCGACGGTTTAACTAACTAAACAAAAAATAATCCTCCTCGGCGGCAGGTGCTTGCTGATGGTGAGCCTGACGATAGAGCTCCACTGAGCTCCTCTTCATACCACCAACTCTCCTACCTCCGGACGTTCCAAGGAAGCACGCCTCCGGCCAACAAGCATTACTTGCGAGCGGCTCGCTGCACACCAAGGGTCTCTAGCCAGCCCATGTTGTAATCACTGGCGAGGCGCCCCCCTTTCAGCATGGCATATTCTTTGAATTCTAGGATGGTTTTGGGGATTAGAATACATGATCCATAGAAAGCTTTTTTTAAATTTGTGTTGGTAACTAGTATACGATCATGGTAGCATGCTATTTTTTAATATGAAAACTTAAAGAAGTATTTTATATTAAGTATAATTAATAGCATACATGGGTGGTAGCTTTTGTAGCATCATGGTCGTTAGTGCTGGGCCAGCGACATTCGGTTTCAATGTAATTGAGGCATTTGATAAGGGGATGATGCATTTGATGAAGCACTTGCATAGGACTTTGGATAAGTGTACGCATGCAACACATGCCTCTGTTGAGTACATATCATCATGATTTGTTTTGATGATTCAGTAGGATGTTGAGGATCGGATGCAGCTAAAAAGGTGCAATTTTAATTAGAAATCATTGTGTTTTCTGCATTACACAACATTTAGCTGGCCATGGCTGCAGACGTAACTAATTGATTCCATTTTAGTAGTAGAATGAAAAAAAGCATAAGAACAAATAGGTTTTCGTATAATAACCTGATTTTGACCCCCTAGATGTTTTGCGGACTAACAAGAAGGACAATATCTACAATTTGACTATGTGTCATTAATAATCCGTAGTTATTTTTAGTCTGTTTTAGCTAGTTATGTGTAAATTAACCTCTTATTTTTGGTTTTTCATCATTTTTATTTTGTTTAGACGGGGAGTATGCTATGCTAGTTTAGCTGTAAGGCAAGAGAAGAGGGTCATGTGCTATGTCAGCGTGGGAAGAGAAAGGTCTTGGGCTCAAGACGTAGGCATCACGAGGACGAGCAATAAACTTGTATGTTTACGACAAGGGGCATGAGGCATGGAGCTGCCCACTATAATGGACATTGGATGCTGATTAGGAAAGTGCTTCCTAAGCTTGTTGAAGGAATCGTCATGGCGAGTGTTTCTCTTGCGTGTGAATAACAAACCTCCCCACCTGTTATGCTGCCGAAATTTCCAGCGAAAATTACCCCGACTTGTCAAAATTTTGGCCTTTTTTGTAAGAAAATGAAAACCTTAGGGGGTTTCATGCAATAAAATTGACCTTGTTTGTAAGAAGAAAGAAATACTAGGGTGTTCAATGCAAAAAAACATTTCCTTGAAGCAAATCACAATCTGGTCCAAAAAAATCACCACGTAAGATCTCACGGTCTGGTCCAACCTATAGGACTAGCTCAAGTGTTGCAGATGATTATGTTTTCCTGATCATGGGAATTAAGTTAAGTGCAATAAGGATGCTAGCAACTTTGAGAGTATGATGATAGAAAACAATCATATTGGATTGACCCAGACTACAAAGGCTGTTTGAATATTTCGTTCCTTCACTGGACGTTCTAGTGCCACATTCGTGCAACATGTTGCCTTTGGTACTAAATATCAAACACATCTAACAAACTCACACCCTTCAGTCAAACATACAAGCATGTGGGTTTCTCAAGTATTATTAACCATCCATCTCTTAAGGTAATATCAGCACACACAAATAAATACCTGCACTGACCAAGTCACTCAAGCGTATGTAGCTAGTGGATGCACAAAGCTATATATAGGAGCCTGCACTAAAGAGTGCCACCCCAACAAGAGCGACTACAACGTCCCTGGCTACGACAAGAAACCTAGCCGACGATCCCAAGTAGGGGAACCTCGCAACTTTCACTATCACGAAAGTGTCCACGATGCTTATGACACACGCAAATGATAGAGTACAGAAGATGACGCTTGTGACGAGGAGCCCGCGGCACCATTTCACCAGTATATATCGCATATCATGAAAATCATTATAAAATAAAGGCATGAACATCAAAGTTATATTTTAATTCACAAATAAAGCTTACTATGCCATGTATATGTAATTATATAATAGAAATAATAAGTATAAGATACACATGCTCAATGTTAAACAACTGTTGAATAAATACAACGCAGGGGGGGCAACGCCCCCCGTCTATCCATTTATTAATGTTGATGTTAGGTTCTAATAATATATTTCTTATTTGTCATGCTCTTGTTGAAGGTGTTGGCTTGAAGCTCAGCCTTGGGGTCTTGGGGATGAAATGCCAAGTTCGGCCTCTGGTTGGCATTAGGATACGATTATTGTCAACACACACAAGCTAATTGTAGCAGAGAGTGATGCAAGCTCCTGTAGAGAAGATTGCGAACCCAACCAAAGGAATAACCGTGTCCCCAGCAATGAGAACCGCCTTAGCCCACCCACCCATGCATGAGAAGGTGGAAACTCTGGCGAAGACGAAACTATCACGAATGCATATCAAGGAGAGGAAGGAGAGAAGATTGAACAGTAGACCGGTGAAGAGCGCCCCTCAGCAGCACTTGACAGTTGACAGCGGGAGCTCCTCGAGAGTTTTCTTGGATCCCATCATACACATGACAAGTGTGACTCAGATTGACATTGATCATCTCCCGGCAAGAAAAATAAATGTCATACACACATACGCGCACTCTAACCTATCACCAGCTAAGTGTGGCCCAAACCTCCGGCATTTGCATTCTTGGTCGTATACAACTAACTTACAAGATGAATCTACATCATAAGAATATTCAGAATCAAGTTTATGGACGTGTTCTTTTAATATGCAATGCACGGGCACATTTACTAGTCAATCAAAACACAGATTTGGCTGTTTGAATATTTCGTTCCTTCACTGGACGTTCTAGTGCCACATTCGTGCAACATGCTGCCTTTGGTACTAAATATCAAACACATCTAACAAACTCGCACCCTTCAGTCAAACATACAAGCATGCGGGTTTCTCAAGTATTATTAAACATCCATCTCTTAAGGTAATATCAGCACACACGAATAATATACCTGCACTGACCAAGTCACTCAAGCGTATGTAGCTAATGGCAGAACAAAGCTATATATAAGAGCCTGCACTAAAGAGTGCCACCCCAACAAGATCTGCTACAACGTCCCTAGCTACGACCAGAAACCTAGCCGACGATCCCAAGTAGGGGAACCTCGCAACTTTCACTATCACGAAAGTGTCCGCGATGCTAATGACACACACAAATGATAGAGTGCAGAAGATGACGCTTGTCAAAAGGAGCCTGTGGTACCATTTCACCAGTATATATCGCATATCATGAAAATCATTATAAAATAATGGCATGAACATCAAAGTTATATTTTAATTCACAAATAAAGCTTATGCCATGTATATGTAATTATATAATGAACAAAATAATTATGAGATGCACGCGCTCAATGTTAAACAATCGTTGAATAAATACAGCGTGGAGGGGGGGGGGGGGCGCCGCCCCCCGCCTATCCATTTATTAGTGTTGATATTAGGTTCTAATAGTATATTTCTTATTTGTCATGCTCTTGTTGAAGGTGTTGGCTTGAAGCTCACCCTTGGGGTCTTGGGGATGAAATGCCAAGTTCGGCCTCTCTGGTTGGACTTGTCAACATGGGTGTACATGGACAATCATCGGCCCACCGAAACAAAGCTCCATGAGCCAACACACAAATCATTTGCATGCCAGTGATTAGTTGTGGTTGCGGGTACAAAATTCGGCTACAATCATCAATTTTTTCCCAAAATAAGGAGATTGAATTGTAAGAGGATTAGAGATGAGGGAATCAACATAGCAGTTTGTGTGTTGTATTGAGCCTCGTGGGTAAAAGGCCTCCTAAAGACAAGACGGAAAGAATT